GAATAAATAGAATGGAATGGAATAGAACATAGAATAGAACAGAATAGAATAAGGAGTAGAATAGAATAAGGAATAGAATAGAATAAGGAATAAATAGAATGGAATGGAATAGAACATAGAATAGAACAGAATAGAATAAGGAGTAGAATAGAATAAGGAATAGAATAGAATAAGGAATAAATAGAATGGAATGGAATAGAACATAGAATAGAATAGAATAGAATAGAATAGAATAAGGAGTAGAATAGAATAAGGACTAGAATAGAATAAGGAATAAATGGAATGGAATAGAATATAGAATAGAATAAGGAATAAATGGAATGGAATAGAACATAGAATAGAATAGAATAAGGAGTAGAATAGAATAAGAAATAGAATAGAATAAGGAATAAATAGAATGGAATGGAATAGAACATAGAATTGAATAGAACATAGAATAGAATAGAATAAGGAGTAGAATAGAATAAGAAATAGAATAGAATAAGGAATAGAATAGAATAGAATAGAATAGAATAGAATTCTTTATTAGCCAAGTGTCATTGGACACACAAGGAACTTGTCTTTGGTGCAGATGTTCTCAGTGTACATAAAAAGACAAGATACATTGGTCATTACAACACTTAATGATAGTCATAGGGTACAAATAAGCAATCAGGAAACAATCATTATCAATATAAATCCTAAGGATACAAGCAACAAAGTTACAGTCCTGCAGTCATAAGTGGGAGGAGATTTAAATTTAAGGCTTTTAAATTAAGAAAATGGGTTGCATATTTTCCTTTGAAAATCAGGGGGAAAAAATTCACACACTGTCAGTTTCTGGTAATACTAAACTTTGCAAGGTAGAGTACACATTGCTCTTCTGCATTTTGCAAAGGAATAATATTTTGTCCCCGTTTATCAAGCCAGGTAATGGTATCTTACAATTATGTGGAGTGAATTGAGCGACCTTGCAAAACAATTTTGAATTCAGTAATGTAACAGTATAGAACAGTAATAAGGTTGGATTTGAGTTTTCAAGGCGCACATTACTTTTTCCAGTGTTCTTGTTTATATTATATAGTATCCATGTTTCTCCATGTTTCAATATAATACTTACATGTAATTCTCTGCGTTTTACTTTATATAGAATTGTTTGGTTTGTCATCGCTGAAAGACCTTCCCTTAAGTTATAATGTACCAGGAAACATCATGTAATACTTTAACTATTCAATTTAAGTTTGTTTCTATAGGCCCTCTTGCAGCTGTTTTCATTTACGTCTCCTGGGCACAATTATTTAATAGTTGACTTTCTATAGAGTTTTACAACTTATTTTCTGTCAAAAATGGATTGTTGTTTGGAATAGAGCTGCCATACCTTAGAACCAAGAATGTGGGCAACCAGGAGACAATATTAAAGCGATATTTTAAAAAACCTCCAGATCTACTCTTATTTTGTTTTACAACTTAGATATAATAATCCTAATTAAAATATGTTGGATGAAACTTGCTTAAAAATGACTTTGTTTTTCAAATAGTCGGGCATGATTTAACTATAGGTGGTTTTATTTTCCATGTTTATCTTGCAGGTACAACTTGACAAGGAAGAACTGAAGCGTTTAATTACTGAAGCTAAAGAGAGATTGCAGTATGTTTGGATTGCATTTGAACAAGAGTGAAAAGTCAATTTACAGCAAAACACCTGTATTTTTTCAATTTAAAAATAATTAGTCAAGCGAAAATCTAGTTTATGTCTAATTATATTTGTCCAATGAAAATATATATTGGATTGAGTGATTTAAGTAATGGAAAAATATTTGTGATTAAATACACTCAATTGACATAAACTGTCAAAAGTAAACAGACCAGTTCAGATTTTGGGAAAAAAAATACAATTAAAACTGGAATACTGTATAGTAGAATTTTTGAATAGAAAATAATAAAGTCATTACATATTAAAAATGCTGATGTCTAATAAAGTGTTACAATTGTACTAACATACATTAACATACATTCAATACATTGAAACTATATTTTTTGTGAGGATGAGACTGCTACGGAGTGTGATTTGTTTTTTTCCACAAATAAGTATTTTCCAGCTAAAAGAGATAGGTTGTTGATAAATCTTTATGGGATTGCAACTGTGTCATTGCTCTAAATTTATTTCCCAAGTACATAAAAATGTCAGATTTACAACTCATCTTCATATTTATCTGGGGTTCTATACAGTGAGGGAGACGGTGGCTAAGACTCGGAGCTTGTTGATCAGAGGGTCGGCAGTTCAGCGGTTCGACTCCCTAGCGTCGCGTAATGGAGTGAGCTCCCGTTACTTGTCCCAGCTTCTGCCAACCTAGCAGTTCAAAAGCATGTAAAAATGCATGTAGAAAAATAGGAACCACCTTTGGAGAGAAGGTAACAGTGTTCCATGTGCCTTTGGCGTTTAGTCATGCTGGCCACAGAGACATCTTCGGACAGCGCTGGCTCTTTGGCTTTGAAACGGAGATGAGCACCCCCCCCTAGAATCAGGAACGACTAGCACATATGTGCAAGGGAAATCTTTACCTTTACCATAAAGTGAAATAGGTGGAACCTGCAAAGTTATTGGCACAGAAACAATTTGGAGTTGTATAAGCGATGAAAGATTAGTGGCATTATTGTTAACTTCTTTTTTACATGAAGGACAGGGGATGATGATGATGATGATGAAAGTGGACAAGAAGGAACCTCAGGTGCCATGGATGATGTTGATGGTGAGGTAGCCAGCTCTTCTCCCAAAGATGAGGACACTGATAAGTTAGATGATGATGAATTGGCAGAATATGACTTGGATAACTATGATGAAGAAAATGCAGGTATTTATCTCTCCTTCCTGCTGTACACAAACAGCTTCTCTATTCAAGGATGTGCAATTGTGTCTTTACAAAATATGCTACTTGTTTCACAATTATAAGTCTGCTCAAGAACAATTTGTTTGTCATATGATAGGTACTGAGGGCCTTGGAGAAATCTTTGCAGGGCTTGCAGTATATGGAACGAATGAAAATGATCCATATATCACTATTAAAGATACTGTGAGTATTAAAGCATAGTTGCTTTGTTTCTTAACACTGAAGATTGTTTAAATACATCATTTTGATATTGGCTAAAGATAACATTCTGTATTGGTTTGGGATGGTAGGCATAAAAAATAGAATAGAATTCTTTATTGGCCAAGTATGATTGGATACACAAGGAATTTGTCTTTGGAGCATATGGTCTCACTGTACATAAAAAGACAAGATACATTTGTCAAGAATCATAAGGTACAACACTTAGTGATAGTCACTTCTTAATATTAATAACACTTAATGGTAAGTGTTATTTGAAGAAATGTTTCAATTAATCAATTTGAAAAAAAAATGATTTGATTAAAATCTGTCTTTTTATATTGTATATCTAGGCTTTTGTTTTAACAACATACTTGATATAAATTACTTTGGTAATATATATTAATTTTGGCTATCTTAATATTGAAGATTCTCTTTTAAGCACAAGAATGCATCAAGTCATAATTTAGTACTTTTTCCAGTTGTCTTTTCATTATAATTATTTTAATTGTATTTTCACACATTCAGTTATTCTCATGTATTGTGTTTGAATACCTTTTGTTTTCAAATTTGTGAAAGTTTAGTCTGGGATTGGAAGAAGTGCACGAATGATTTTTCTTAAACATTAAGAAAATGTTTTTTTTTAATGTCATTTATTAGGTGACAAGACAAATTGTCTTTTAAAGTACGACTGGTTTCAGTTAGTTTTTAAAAGACTAAGCATTCCCAAATATTTGCATCTAAAATTGTTTCATGGTATCTGTTAAATACAGTGATAAAATAAGGATTTGAAATCATATTCAAACTTATATTCTTTCAGGATCAATATGAGAAAGAAGACTTTGTGATTAAGTCAAATGACAGTCTTGTTATATGTGGCAGAGTTGATAAGGACCACTGCAGCCTAGAAGTCCATGGTAGGTATTAAAATCCTTTTGGCTTTTAAAAAAGAATCATGGAAGATATGGATGGTTTATTCATTAAGTTGATTTCCTGTATTATATTTGTTCATAATCGTCAACTCTATGCTTGAATTCTCCCTCTTTCCAAAAAGGGATTTTTCTACAGGATATGAATTGCCATAAAAGCACAATTTCAAGTGTTTGTTTTGTATTTGTTTTGAGGTGCTACATTTTGAGCTTGATGTATTATGTGTTATTGTCAGATTCTTTTTTCCTGATCATGTGATTCATACCTTTCCCTAAAATAAGAACATGAATGCTTTGTTATAATATTTTTATTATTACAGACTGATCAGTTAGTATTATGTAAAGCTACATACTTTTTGCCATTTGTTTATAATCTGTTTCATAGAATCATGACATTTCTTATAAATCACTTCCCCATAGTCTCTTAATGCATTTGGTGGGAAAATAAAACTCACTTTTATAGCCTTGTACTTCCTCACAATTTCTTGTCAATATTTTGGAATAATTTATATATCCTCCATAATATTGAAACATAACATTAAAATCTGTAGAGATTCTCAGACATTTAGGCCATGGTTGTCCCATAGGTGTTTTCTTTGGGAATGGATTTCCAGAGAAAAAATTGCAGACTACAGGAATCAGGAGCACTACTCCGGTGACCCTGAGGCCACAGATAAACCTCCAAGTGCTTCAATGACCCTCTAAAAGGATGCAAATGACCAGCTATCTGCAAGGAATATAAATCCTTCCATTCCCCACTATCCTGTCAGAGCTGAAAAATCTTGGATGAGAAACGAAACGTCTTCAGAAAGAAAAAAAACTAAGAATGTCCAGTTGCCTCCCGAAAAAAGCACCTTTGGGATAACATTGAAATATTGCTTATATTAGATCAGGCTATTTATCCATTTGGTTGAATTGTGTTTGCTTTGACCACACGTTCCTTGGAGTCTTCACATGTTTTATCACCATCATTGAGCTCAACTGTTTCTTGTATTGCTTATTGGATCCTCTCTTTTATAGCATAAGATTAATAAATGCAGAGGTGTAAATAAATAAATCAAATATGATTAGTATTAATATTGTCAACCTGTGGTGGACCTGTTCAACTTGCATTCCTTTTATTGAGTTCTGCTTGTCTAGAACTCAGCAAACTGTAGGAGAGAGGGAAGGTTACAATATATGCTTGACAATGTTTTTGTGATTAAAAATATAGCCTCTATAAAGGAACTCAGAAATATCTTCCCAATATTTCATTTTTTTATTTGTGATATAGTATAGTGGTAATTTTAATTTTATTCTTCTCTCTACAAGCGTATGCATATGTTCTGTGTGCTTTTGTAGTAGGAGTATGATTTTTTTTAAAATTTACTTAAAGGAAGTTACTTAATTCTTTCAGTTTATAATCATGAAGAAGATTCCTTTTATGTCCATCATGATCTTATTTTATCTGCATATCCCTTAAGCGTGGAATGGATGAACTTTGATCCTAGTTCCAATGATTCTGCTGGTAAGTTAGTGTACTATTATATTTCTAATGATACCAACATTGTAAGGGGACATCGGTATGAAAGTGCAGAGAGAGACAGATAGGAACAAATGTTGAGGACAATTTTTTTTTATTGTTTTCTACCACATTGTCCTTCTCCTTTTTCTTTTTTGTCTGAGCATTTATATTTTTACTTCAGTAGCCACTCTTTCCTTTCCTGTTTTCATTCTGGATTGTTTTTCTTCTAAAAGTGTGTAACTTAGAAGTAGATTTTTTTAGGCATTGCCCTGTATGATTGTGGAAAAGAGATTAAATATTATAGTAAACTAGGAAATCTTATTATCCATCATTAATGATAATGATCATATTGTTTTTCCAATTGTTGTGATAACCTTTTAGAACAACTGGCTAAATAGATTTCAGGGCACTGTTTTCTGATGCCTTTCCTGGGGAAATAAAGTCTCTCAGGCTATCATTGTGTTCCATACTATGTAACATTGAAGACTAGTGGGAGAAGTTATGCGTAGCTTCAGTGTCTAAGCACACAACATCTCCTTTCCATCTAAATCCAAGGAAAACTGATAGTTAAAAAATTGTGAGAGATTTTTGATAATTAAATTGCTGAGGATGACCAAAGTGAAGCTTAATCAAATCAAATCCAGTATTGAATGTAGCTGAATGTGCTTCTAAGAGCCGAGGTGGTGCAGTGGTTAGGGTGCAGTACTGCAGGCCACTTCAGCTGACTGTT